AATTCGATATAAATGCCTGATACGTAATTTTCTAGCCCCGACGCTTGCAACATAAAATTTAAAATAAAAGGCAGACAATATTCCGTCCAGACGGAAGCAAGTATTTCCAAGTTATTGCTGACTAGTATACAATGAAATCCATGTTTATTTAGGGTAGAAATGTACGTGATCAAAAATGTCGATTCTTCTCCGTAAGCTGCTTTCGATGCGGAACCGTCGTCCCCTTCAAACTATCGGATATCGGGGAAGGAATTCGAGACGTCACGATAAAAGAATGGTGAGCAAAACAATAAATTTCCCGTTAACCATCGTACCTACGAAATTTTCGCAATTACCGATCATTTCTCCCTCGCCGTTACTCCTCTTGAAAATCCATTATGTTATTTGAAAGTAAAGAAATTGCATCTTGACGAAAATACATAACCTAATGTACATACATACATACATACATACATACATACATACATACATACATACATAATACCTGTCAGTCGGCGACACTATGTTTCGGTCTAATGTACTGTAAAGATAATTGAACTCCAACTTGGTGCATTCGAATATATACATATATATATATATATATATATATAGGTTCGTGAAACCAGGCGACCGGGTGTCTCAATTCGATAACATTTGTGAGGTTCAAAGCGACAAAGCATCTGTGACGATTACTAGCCGTTACGACGGATTAATTAAAGCCTTGCACTACAAGGTAAACGACGTGACCCTGATAGGAGATTCATTGCTGGACATTGAACTAGATGATAATGGGAACTCGCAAGTTGAAACGACGATTACCGATGATCGACAGCCGCAACTAACAGCAAAGGCTGACGAACAGAGCGTCAAAGACGAGGAGGAGGAACGGTTAGTGAAGTATGGCTTAGAAAAAGCAATAGCCACCCCAGCGGTCAGAAGGATAGCTATGGAGAACAATATTAACTTGAAGGACGTCGTTTCCACGGGCAAAGGTGGTCGTGTGCTTAAAGAGGATATATTAGCTCATTTAGAAAAAATTTCTGTCAACTCGGCAAAAGAAAGGGTCGAAGGGATACCAACGGGAGAGACAGTAATGCCAATGAAAGGCTATAGCAAGCACATGTGGAGGACAATGACGCGATCTCTGGTAAGTTGGATTCTCTCGACGTTGCGATTTTGAAATATCGTTTTCTCCGCATCGAATGATTATCGCGTTTTCCTATTATTTATATTCGGTTTAATATTATTTATTAATATTATTTATAATTTATAATTTATTATTATATATAATTAATATTAATTAATATTCGGTTATATTGGAAAAGATTTTCGCGTAAAGAAGTTACACGTTACGTATCGAACAAAGTTGCTCGTTTCGATTGTTATTAAAAATAGATTTTCCACGGAAGCTAAAAAGCAATTTGGATAATCCCGTAACGGATAACGTTGAGACCGCGATATTAACAAGCGCGGTTTGGATTAAAACGCACGCCACGCGTAAATTGCCAGATTAACAGATTTTTGTTTATCGCGCATCCCCGTGCGGTCGCGGCAGCTAAATAAATAAACAGTCAATTATTCTGGTCAGTTATAAAACAATACGTGGTGTGGAGTAGGATAATGAAGCATTGAAGAAAGTGGTTTGCAAATTAAATAACGTGACAACGGGTTTCATGGGTAACGAGGAAGGAAGAAAGAAAGGAACAAAGAGGTGATAACTTAATAACAGTAACAAGAGCGGAGTGTCACATTGCCCAGTAAAATTTCAATGTAGTACTGTCGGTGGTTCAAACGCGAGAATCACGGCGAACTCGATAATAGAAGTGCGTCGTCTAAAAGTGACGTTGACACATGCGATTGATAGCGATCGATCGAATCCGAGCAGCCACTCGGCCCGAATTTCCTGTCAACGTTGACAGACGAAACACCGTTAAAGTGTTTCGGAAAATACGGCCATTTTAATCGTCTCATCCCCCAACCCCTTATCTTTGACGTTCAAATATGACATATACACGTTCCCCCGTGTGCTAACATCGTTAATTGCACGCCCCAAATAAACCTGTAATTAAACGGGCTGGTTGCGAAAAATTTACGAAGCCGACGCATGTTTGCAGAGCATACCGCACTTTGTGTACAGTGACGAGTGTAACATTAACAGATTGATGGATTGCCGGAACGAGGTGAAGGACTCGATGAAAAAACAGGGTGTTTCTTTAAGCTTGATGCCGTTTTTCATAAAAGCCGCATCCAGAGCGTTGGAGGAAGTACCACAGTTGAACGCCTGGCTTGACGAAGAGAATCAAACGTTACGCATCCAGAGGAGTCACAATATTGGTATTGCGATGGATACACCTGAAGGTTTAATCGTACCGAATATTAAAGATATCCAGAACTTGGACATCGTGGAGATCGCGAAAGAGTTGAACCGTCTTCAAGAACTTGGAAGGAGATCTTCAATCCCGCCAAGCGATTTATCGAACACGACATTTTCGCTATCAAACATCGGTGTTGTAAGTTTAGAAATCATCTATGTCCAATGAAAGCTATTAAACAAATCAAATTGAACTTCAGACTATTTCGAAAGAATTCGATTTGAATTTGAATTGATCTTAAATTTTAAAAAAAATAGTCCAAACTGAAAAATTATATTAAAGTTTGAAAGAAATTTTTTATTTCTTGAAAAATTAAATATTACTCATGTAGCAATGAAACTAAGAAATTTTTAGAAAATGGAATTGTTCAATTTGACTTTTGAATAATTTACACTATAATGCATTTCAAACAATCAATTTAGAACTCATTGGTATTAATTTATTGATCATTATCGATATGTAATTTAATTGTAATTTACAGGTGGGTGGTACATATACAAAACCGGTGATTCTAGCCCCACAAATTGTAATCGGCGCGTTTGGAAAAGTGCAAAAATTACCACGATTCGACGATAAAGGAAATGTGATAGCTGCGAACACAATTTTTATCAGTTGGGCCGCTGACCATCGAGTAGTAGACGGTGTTACAATGGCCAAATATTCGAATCTTTGGAAACATTATGTTGAAAATCCTGTATTTTTATTAATAGGAGCGTGAAAATGTATTTGGAAGTAAGCATATCTTTTATGGGAATCATTTTATATGTATTAACTCAAATTTTTAAGGAACTTCACGACTATACTTCAATTTCATAAGAACATGTATATGTAAAGCGCAATAAAACTTGTAAACATTTTTTACGTAAATATTAATTTATTTATTGCTGCACAACCAACTAGGACTTTTTAAGAAAGGTAAAATATTTTTTTCTAACATATTCAAAGTGTTACAACTGTATGGTAGTTATTATGTGATGACCAGTCAAACCACTGTGAGCATTTTTTGTACATTTAATCTATCATACATTGTCATACAAATTGTCTGAGTAGGTATTCCAAAAAATATGTCAAGGAAGTGGTTGTACTGATTAATGTTTTCTTCTTAACAGTTTATTTTTTTTAACTTAATTAAAAAATTACCCTATCAAATTACTGAAACTATCAATTAGTGAAATGAAGAAATTATTAAAAAGAAAATATCAAATAAAAGATTATAATTGAGATATAATCTGAATAATGAGTACGACCACTTGTACACTTATATACTTTTAATTTTTTATATACACAGTTTCATGTACCGCGTTTTTTGATCACACATTTCCCGTACAATCAATACATTCCATTAAATGCCACTTAAATATTTGCTCAAAAAGTAGTCAGTCTGTTTAGTAGTTAGAGTAGTAGAAAAGATTGTATATGCGTTTTATGGTCCAAAATTTTTGTATTTTTGACAATTAAAATATTAATTTATCCTGCAGAAGATTATAATTGAGTATTTGAGCTTAACATAATGTTTTAAAAAAGACGTAACAGCTTGCTAAAAAAAAAAAAAAAAATCATTGATACATATGCAAACTTCAGTTTGTACATTTGTTATGAATAAACACATAACAGTATTTGTTGAAACATAAGCATACAATAAATATAGCATTCTTTTCTATCATAACTCTTATACATAAAATTAATATTTAAAAAGAACTACACAAAATATTCATAGAAATACGAATATTACCAGGTGAAAGTACAATCCACTCTTGATTATACTTCTTACTTTCCAATATGACTAGGTATG